AAAAGCCGCCGAACACATATATATGTAAAGTAAACAAGCACCCCGCTGCATCCCTTATTCGATAGTTCCGAAATAGTTCTCAATTCCACAAATAGGATCTAGTTCGTTCTGCACCCCTTTTTCTATAGTTCCGAACCATTTCTAAATTCGTCACTTTAGATATAGATTTCTAATGAAAAAAAAAACTGAAAAAATTAGTTTCTTAAAAGTACCACTTTCTCCGATTTTGATTTGATTCACTAGGCTGCGGTTTCCCTGCAGGGAGCCGATAGGAACTAGATTCCCACCAGTACAAAATCGGCGAAAAGTGGTACTTTGAAAAAACTAATTTTTTTCAGTTTTTTTCACTAGAAATCTATATCTAAAGTGACAAATTTATAACTGGTTCGGAACTATAGAAAAAGGGATGCAGAACGAACTAGATCTGATTTGTCGAATTTTGAACTAGTTCATAACTATCGAATAAGGGATGCAGCGGGGGGCTTGTTTACTTTACATAGATATGTGTTCGGCGGCTTTTTCGTTCATATACGCTTCTATTCTGTGCTTCGCAGATGCGTTTTCATAGCTTGGTAATACAAAACTAAAATTTGTGTTAACATTTCGACATCTTGGGACCGTCTGGAATCTAAAAAATAACAGCGAGCACCTCTGCAAACTCAGCTACAGCTAAAGGTATGTAAACGTACATTTCTTACAATCATTCAAACAAATTTAATTTCAAATTGAAAACACATTTCTTCCAAAATAACTTAAAATCGCACACACGGAAGAACCAAAAAGATTGAAAAATCATGATACTTTTTTCTTTCGTCTGTCGATTTTAGAACTGGTTCGGAACTATAGAATTTAGGAGTAGTTCAGAACTATCGAAAAAGGGATGCAGCGGGGGGCAATTGACACTTCCTAGAAAATCACCATGTTAAATTCGCCAGTTGCTTGCATGCAAAAGAGATTTATCGCGACCAGTACTGGGTCTAAATGTATTAGAAGCGCACCAGTTCAGAACTAGAGATTTTCCCCACAAGGAGTAAGGTATATATAAATGATTTTGTTAAAGGGGGTGTGGTACATCCGATAGGCGTGGAATTTTTTATGAGCTATAACTTCGAAACCATAAGTCACACGAACTCGAAATTTGGTATACAGATGCATCTACGGTATGTGCTGAGAGTAAGGTATATAGGAAGAAGTTTGTAAATGGAGGCTTGGCACATTCCGTAGGTGTGTTTATTTTATCAGCCATAACTTCCAAACCATAAGTCACACGAACTTTAAATTTGGTATGCAGGCATAGCTATGGTAGGTGTTTATAGTAGACTACACTGAGAAAGAGGATTAGTTTCGATAACTAAAGATATTTAGTTCCCGAATTTTGACAATGTTTGGGAACTGTTACCAAGGATTGGGAACTATAACCATGGGTTGGTAATTATAACTAAATATATCAAAGCTTCTAATATTCATCTAGGTTGTACCAAATCGTTAATTTAGTTGAAGGGTTTGGTAAATACTAATAAATATTTCTTTGAAGTATATTTCTTCAAATGCCAATCAACTTAACGTATGGTTCATAAAAGGATGTCATAAGCTCTGCTAATGCAAGTCAGGTTTCTTTCAACAAATCTAGGCAAGTCTAGGCAACCACGATTTGGTTTGAGAGGAGAACATATTCATGCTTGTGAGCCACCCCCATAGTTGCCAACTTGGTACTTTAAGCACTAGATTTAGTGCGTTTTGAAAATTAAAACGCCAAAAAAATTATTTAGTGCCTAGTGCCTTTTTAGTGCTTTTTTTCTGAACTAAAATTCCTCCGAGATAGGTCAAACCTGAAATATTTAAAGCTGTGGCAGCACTGAATTGACAAGAATCTACAAATTTAAATGCACTAAAATATAAACATGATTGATAAAAAGCTGAAGTTACAAACCCATCTTGTTGAATTCTATTCGCGTAAGTTAAATATATCTTTTTTTCTTTTCTAATTATTCGTACAAATTTTGATTTTTTTTACCACCTGAATAAAAAACATCGTTTCTTGGTGCTGAATCCAAATCTGGCCGCACATTTTCTTAGCTGAATATCAAATAGACTCCATTACTGTACATCAGCATTTTTGCAACATAATAAGAATGAAGGCTGATGATGCAGGCAATGTAGTAGACAACAAGTCTGAGCCTTCATGACAATACCTCCGACAACGAAGAGAGCCCAGAGTAACAAAAATCTTGAAACATACATCATAAAAATATCTGTGTAGTCTAATCCAGAAGACGCTTTTAATCTATTAGGGAATTTACATGATTCAACTTTCACAGGCGATTAGTTGAACCAAAAGTTGAACGAAAGTAGGCAGCCGACCAACTTCATTGAAAGCGATTAGCTGAAAGGCCGTTTACACCAGGCGATTGTTGCTTTCAACTAAAAATCGCCCCATGTAAATTCCCTATAAATTTATTATTATTCATTATTAAGGAGTCTTGGTCTTGTCCAACCCGTGACATAAAAAGGTAAAAGTTGTTATATTTAATTTCAGAAGTCGAGGTTGTGTTTCGTGTTTGTTACATAATGTTAGACATTCATTGCAAATATTTACTACAATTGCATTGTCGTTTCCACGTTGTTAGATAAGAATTATTCAACAGATATTGACCTGAGTTTTTGCACGACTGTTGCTGTTTCATCGTTTCTTTTTAGGAAATTTTTATCACCATATACATCTGCATTACTTACACTAGTAACTATTTATGTAAATATGTATGTATCTTTTATGCTTAATATATGCAAATAAAAGAAGAAAGTAAACACAACAACCATCGAGTAAATTTTTGTTTGTGTCAAACTGTAACTTTTTTTTCCGATAATAAACGGTTAGCTGATTCAAGTCCACAGCAAGTTCACAAAATTAATTGAAAACTACACACAGAAAAAAGACAGCCAAATATATTCCTCTCAACACATGATTTGGTACTTATAAACAAATAATGTAACTATAACCAAATCATGTGTTGAGAAAAACATATTTAGTTGACGTAACTAAACTCTTTTCTCAGTGTAGATCAACCAAAGCGATGTTTATATTTGCTCAACTAACAATATTGTCCAATCAAGGTAGTCGTTTTGTAATTATTAGCAAATATACATTTGTCCCAACTAGAAGTCTCAAGTAAATTGCAGACAGACCATAAGTCACATGAAATGGAAATTTGGTATGCAGACACATATATGGGAGCTGTTTAGAGTAAAGTATATATAAATGAGTTTGTAAAAGGGGAATAAATACATATATATTCATCTATTAGATCACTCAGATATTTCAAACTGTGTTTGTTGAAACCTTACATTTTTTAGATCATTTCGAAATGGAAAGTTTCAATCGTTTCTTTGGTCCCGCGATGCTGCTAAATGAAAAATGTTCATTCATAACACTGTACAGCACTCGGCTGGGTATTGGACCAAACCAATTGTTTTTAAAAGATTGAGTCTTAGGTAAAAAAAGGTATTTCTCCGTTTTTCGAAGTTAGCCTCCGAAATCGAGATATGGGCCTTCGAACTTCGAAATAGGACCTTTGGTAAAAAATTATTTTTAATTATTATATGTAAATAACTAAAAAACCAAAAATATAGATATAGTCCGCTTTTTGCTCGTATTTGAATGGTATATAACTTTTTTTGCGCAAACTTAAAAATGCCGTGAGGGATCAAAGGTCGGGTCTTCGAAAAATTAATAACCTTATAATTCGAAAAATTTTGATTTGATTTTTAAAAAATTTATATCATTGGAAAGGTGATTAAGCCCCCTTTCTTTTGGTATGCATACTTGTATACTTCGTATGTAAAAATTCTCAAAAAAACATTAAAAACTAATAAAAATACCTTTTTTTTATAAAAAGAATTTGTTAAACAAAAAGATTATTAACCGATTTTTAAAGAATTGATATCGTTGTAAACGCAATTAAACCTTCTTTCTTCTGATATGCGTATTTGTATACTTCGTAATACAATTGAATACTTAATTTAAATAAAACAAAAAATAACCTTAATCTTATATGTAACTTGTTATGTAAAAAATCAAAAACCATGGTATTTTAATATGCCATAGACTTCTGTTACATATACTTTTGCTTTACNCTAATAATAATAATAACAATTACTAATTAGTAATACAATTGAATACCTTATTTAAATATAACAGTAAACTTGCTTTAATTTTGTATACAACTTGTTGTGTAAAAGGTCAAAACACATGGTGTTTTTATAATTTTCAATTCTTATCAGTATTTATGTGCACTGTGCTTACCTAAAAATCATGATCATCATATATAAATATAAATAAATGTCAAATAAATATCAAATCAATAGCGTCTCATGTTTAAAAAAATATAGTAATAGTTCTCTTGGATTAAAAAATGTCCGCTCAAGACTGTGCAGCAAAACTGCAATCGAACTTTTGTTTTATTTGTGGAAAATTTAATATAAAAACAAGTTTGTTAAATATAACTCCAATTGTTGAATCTCTCTATAAACAATATTTTGACCAACCAATTATAAAAGCTGAGTCTTGGGTTCCGAGCAAGATATGTAGGACCTGTTACAACCATTTACAAAAATGGGGGAAAAAAGAAATTGATCAATTGATGTTTGGTGTTCCTGCAATTTGGTATAAGCCAGGTAATTACATAGTGACAGCAATGTTTATATGAGTAGACTTCATCAAGATTTTTACGTTTATATTAGATGTACATAACAGTGATACATGTCATGTATGTTTAAACTATCATGCTGGCGACAACCGAATAAAACGTCGCAAAAGAGAGTGCGTTGAAAGTTTGTATGTGCGGTTACCAAGACCACATAGCGAGAATATCCCAGCACCGGAACGAAGAAGCCCTCATCAGTCAACTGTGTATGGAAGATTCGTAAATATACCCGACGAATTCGATGAAACATATGTTCCTTCTGAAGCTACTGCATCTGTAAGGCTTATTACACAAGGACAGTTAGATGGATTCGTGAGAAAACTAGCGCTATCAAAAACGCAAGCAGAAGAGTTGGCCAAATTTTTGAAGAGTGGAAACCACTTGGCACAAGATGTTAGAACGTCGGGCTATCGTAAAAGGCAAACATCTATAAAACAATTTTTTACGGTAAATGACGCTAATACTTTCACCTATTGTCATGATATCATCGGTTTAATGAACGAGATCAATATAACTCACGATCCGCCCGATTGGCGCCTCTTCATAGACTCAAATAAAGCCAGTTTAAAAGCAGTCTTGTTATATAAAGACAAAAGCAAACCACCCGTTCCATTAGCGTACAATACAGATAAGGTTGAAACGTACAATAACTTAAAAGTCCTTCTAAATTATATCCAATATGAGCAATTCCAGTGGAGAATATGTGCAGACATGAAAGTAGTAGCCACTGTCATGGGATTGCCACCATCTGGATGGCCAAGGAATATGTGCTTTATTTGTTTATGGGACACGAGGTATGCCGAAGGCCAATACAACAAAAAAGATTGGCCACTGCGAGACGAATATACTGTTGGAAATGCAAACATTATCAATAGTCCGCTAGTGAGTCGCGATAAAATCCTAATTCCGCCACTACATGTCAAATTGGGACTAGTAACTAATTTCGTCAAGTCATTTATTAAGCGTAATGATGCCGCAAAAACATGTCTTAGGAATATGTTTCCTAAACTATCATATGCTAAAATTGAAGCTGGTTAGTATGTAAATTATATTTGGATTATATTCTTTATTTTATATGCATCTATGTACAGGTATTTTTAACGGTCCGGACATTCGCCAAATGTTAAAAAGCGAAGACTTTACAAAATCATTAGATGCGAATGCAGCGATTGCTTGGAGTGCATTAAAGGTAGTTATCACTAATGTTCTTGGCAATCAGCGTCATGAAAATTTCCGTGGATATGTCAATAACCTGATGGAAGCGTTTTCTAAAGCGAATGTTCATATGTCGCTAAAAGTACATTTAATGCATGCTCATCTTGACTGGTTAGAGAGACAACTCTCAACCGAATCTGATGAGCAGGGAGAACGCTTTCATCAAATTGCTGTTCCAATGGAGGCCCGGTACAAGGGAAAAAAGTTAGACGCCATGATAGCTGACTTATGTTGGTGGCTAAAGATAGCTAAGGAAAACTTGGACGATGACGACCTTGATTGTGAACTTGAATGTTGATTCAAACAATATGTCAAATTAGTTTTTAGTGTTTTAAGCGTTAATTCGTTCTTGTTTACCAACAGCCCTGTTAAAAGTAAAGCAAAAGTATATGTAACAGAAGTCTATGGCATATTAAAATACCATGGTTTTTGATTTTTTACATAACAAGTTACATATAAGATTAAGGTTATTTTTTGTTTTATTTAAATTAAGTATTCAATTGTATTACGAAGTATACAAATACGCATATCAGAAGAAAGAAGGTTTAATTGCGTTTACAACGATATCAATTCTTTAAAAATCGGTTAATAATCTTTTTGTTTAACAAATTCTTTTTATAAAAAAATGGTATTTTTATTAGTTTTTAATGTTTTTTTTGAGAATTTTTACATACGAAGTATACAACTATGCATACCAAAAGAAAGGGGGCTTAATCACCTTTGCAATGATATCAATTTTTTAAAAATCAAATCAAAATTTTTCGAATTATAAGGTTTTTAATTTTTCGAAGACCCGACCTTTGACCCCTCACAGCATTTTTAATATAAGTTTGCGCTAAAAAGTTATATACCATTCAAATACGAGCAAAAAGCGGACTACATCTATATTTTTAGTTTTTTAGTTGTTTACATATAATAATTAAAAATAATTTTTTACCAAAGGTCCTATTTCGAACTTCGAAGGCCCATATCTCGATTTCGGAGGCTAACTTCGAAAAACGGAGAAATGCCTTTTTTTACCTAAGACTCAATCTCTTAAAAAAAATTGGTTTGGTCCAATACCCAGAAAAAAAGTTGATTTTGCCGTACAGTGNCGTGGTTTGGTCCAATACCCAGAAAAAATGTTGATTTTGCCGTACAGTGTAATGAATAAAACTTCTTCCGAAATAAGCATTCTACCGAAAAAGTACAGCTTTGAATGAGCATCCGAACGTCGTTGCGTGCGGATGTGTTTCGATTTTCGCTCTAATTTATTATAGTTTTTCTGCTGTCATTAGTGCATAACATGCATATATTTATAAATGAGGCTAGACTTTTAAATTACTTGTGCAGTGATGAACTCAATTTATAACTTTAGAGATAGTGACTCTATTTGGAAGTTTTGATTTAATTTAATAATTGCATCAAAATGCCGTGCCTTTGTGGCCTAAAAGAGGAAAGATCGCAGCCAAAAGTACAATGCGCAATGTGCAATGAACTTTATTACCTAAAATGTGTAAACATTATGCCTGCTGATGTGGAGTTTTTGCTCTCGTCGAATAAATCGTATTTATGCAATGATTGCTCTACTGATCGGCGAAACTCTCTTCGTTCACCGCTGCCCTCTGTTGCTCTGGAGAATAGTGTTGTTTAACTACTCGGAATGACCAAATCGACGATCAAAGTAGCTGTTTGAGTAGCTTGTCACAGCAGTCAATAATGTCAACCTTTGGCTCTCCATCCCAGCTAACCACAAATGAAGGTGTGCATTTGCATAGTGCTAATATAAATGGGCAGCTAATGTTGCAATCAGTGTTGGGTGAAATTGCAGCTCCTAGAGCAGAAAATAGCCGTATTGTTGCTATGGTTAGTGAGTTACGTGAAGACAATAAACAACTCATAACTAAAACAATGGCAATGCAAACTGATCTTCACCTGTTGCAGTCTAATCTTCGCCAATATGATTTGGTTTCTGCTGTCACTACTCTCACTGCTGAAATTAAAGCCATGCGTGAAAATGCTTGTAACTGTGTGCATAACAAAAAGGCAGGTAGCAAACCTAAGTCTTCGGTTATCGCTAATTCTGCCATTTATGCTGCTTCGCCTTCCGCTGTGGAAGGTAGCGTAAATTGGTTGATACCAACACTCCGTCTCCCTCGCTTGCTGATGTCGCTGTTGGTACTGTAAATGAGAATGGTTCTGCTGAGTTTGCCGCTTCAACCTCCGCTCATGTCAACCCCTCTCGATCATCGGATGATTCTAATGCTGCTGTAAATGGGAATAGGCCATTGGTTGAATTGGTTGGGAATGGGTATGCTGACTTCGCTGATTCATCCTCTGCTATCGGAGTTAACGCCAATTCTTCTCGTTCATCGGCTGACTCGAACGCTGCCTACGTCTCGTTCGCTGCTGCTGCGAACAACACAGCGAGTGTTTTCCCACAATCTGATTCTCAGCCTCCTTCACAGTGGCCTATTTTTAAAAATAAAAAGCCAAAAAACATAATATGGCATCGGATGTGGTCTTAGCTGTTAACAGTAGCACGGAACTGGATGTAGTGACCATGAACCAATGGATTCAATTTTCCTCTTTTAAACTAACTGTATCGAATGAAACAATTCATTTATGTTTTAATTGTATTGAATTTATTTTACTGAGCAACTCAATGTCGCTTTGTAGGTTGTTTTACAATTGAATTCTTAGCCTAACATATTGGGGTATTTATGGGAAATAATTGCTGCATAAGCATAAATAAGCATAAGCATATGGGAAATAATTGCTGCATAAGCATAAATAATATTATAAATAAATTGAAGCTTAAAGTTAGTTTGTTTGACGGTTTGGCACAACTGAAATATGAAACCCTTGTTGTTATGAATAAATTAAATAATTATAAACGTTAAGCATGGTCGACTTTCAGTTACACTACACCTCCTTTTTTAAAAGAATGCTCATACAGAGTTTATTGTATGAACATTCCTATTTAGCAAGTAATTAAATATAATAAAAGTTTATAAATTTATTTAAACTTAAAAAAAATAGTTTTAATGATTATATATCTTAATTCTATTTTTATGTACAATTTGGGTTTTTCCCGTTTTCTTATCAGTTATAGTTACATTATTTTTAAAATCTATATTATTAATTTTAAATGGTCCTTTGTATTGTGGGTCCAATTTGTGCCCTGATTCGTTTTTTAGCAAAACTAAATCACCTATTTTAAAGTTATAATCTAAAACTTTTTTATCAAAATAAGATTTTTGTACTATCTTAGATTGTTCTATCATATCCCTTGCTCTTTTATGAGATATTTCTAACCTAAATTTAAATTCCTTAGCGTAATTATCTAAATTATAAAGTGGGCTTATTTTGTCAACCTGATCAAATTGTTGAAACCCATTTGGAAGTTTTCCAAAAACTAACTCGTATGGACAATAGTCATGTACAGTTGATGGTGTTGTATTAAAGCAGTATGTAAAATACTTAAGCCACTCATCCACTTTTGTCTATCGATACATATGACCTTACATATTGGTTAAACGCTTTATGTGATTTCTCGACCGTCCCTAACGTCTGGTGGTGGTGGGCGGTTGATGTTAGTTTTTCTATATTTAAAAGTTTGCATATTTCTTCTAAAAGTGAATTTTTATATTCCGTGCCCATGTCCGATATGAACGTCTTCATATGACCGTGGACGAGAATAAAATTATCAAAAATTGCCTTAGCTATAGTTTTTGCATTTTTATCTTTAGTTGGTATTGTCACTGAATATTTAGTTATGTCGCATATTATCGTGACTGCGTATGCATTTCCATTTTCTGACAATGGTAGCGGGCCGATTGTGTCAACGAATATTGTATCAAATGACTTGTTTGGTGTTGGCGTCAAAGTCATTGGACTTTTTATATGTTTTGTGACTTTGGTTATTTGACACTTATGACAATTCTTAACATATTTCGTGATTGTTTTAGTCATGTGTTTCCAGTAATAGTATCTTTTTATTTTATTCAAGGTTCTTGAAATGCCACA